TCTGCCTTTCCCTTTGGCTGTGGCCTGCCCGTGTCTCTTGAGAGCTGCCTGGCGTGGGTGGGAGACCCCTGTCCAACATGCCCCAGTTTCAGAACTGACAAGGAAGTGCGTCCTCTCTGGGTCCCGCCCATGCTGCAGGAGACGCAGGTGTCCACTCTGTGAAACTTCTGTCGGGAGGAGGTAGGCTACCGGGTCTGCCCTCTCATGGCAGATTTGCCACCATCGTACACATCCCAACCCCACTGCTTGGCTCATAAATCCAAGGAAGGGGAAACAATCTTATGAGGACTGTGGCTCCACCCCATCCTTGCTCCCAGATGGGGTTCAGGGAACGCCGTCCAAGTGAGCAGCCACGGGCTGGGCCCCAGCTCTGTGTCCTGGAATGTGTCAGTCCACCCTCAGCTGCAGACACTCAGGTGACAGCCCAGCTCCCTCATCTCCCAGGGGCGGGATGGCTCAGATCCACTGACAGGGGCACTGGGTGCACAGGGCAGGTCGTGCCTACTGAATCCTTGGGGGCTGACCCTGGACCCTGCTCACTGCCTGTCGTTTACGGAGTGACCAGTTGGAGGGCGGCTGTGTCATCGATGGGCAATGGCACAGCTCCAGCCCTGAGTCCTTCACCGGCCCTCCTGGTGACCCCAGGCCACTAGGGGCAGACTGCTGCCTGCTTCTACCGTCAGGACAGAAGACTGGTCTTTACAGCAAGCTGACACGTTGGAGTGTTTCCCACACGCCACCCTGTGTTCTAGGTGTTTCTACGTGGGTTCGTTACTAATATCTCATAATAGGTCTACGAAATAGCTGCTGTTATCATATCCATTTCAGAGACGGAGACACCAAGGCACCGAGAGGTTGAGTGACTGCCAGGTTCTGAGCCCAGGCTCACAGGCACCACCGGGTTGCGGCAAGACACTTGGTGGGGCTGCTTCTCTTGCACCTGGAACCCTCCGTCGGGTCCCCCCATCACACACACCAAACCCAGAGACCCCAAGTAGAAGCAGCACAGCCCCCGGAGAACAGGTTGATTTCCTGGTACACCAGCCTTCAAGTACAATCTCTGCCAAGACATCCTGGGGTTAGAACATAATGGAGGTGACAACCGCCGTCTCATTTCAGAACCTGTGCGTCTCCAGTTCCCGGCAAACGACCGGCTGGCGCAGGCAAGGCCCAAGACGTGCAGGCCCGGTGACATAAGACACTGTCCGCCATGCTGTCAGCATGGCCCTGCCCTGGCCACTAGCTGGGCCTGACTGTGGGTGGAACTTCCTTCCCAGAAGAGCTCACTGTGGCTGGGGCACCCTGAGGGCTGGGCCTGCTTCTGGGCTGCAAGGACCTCCCTTCCACAGGGTGATGGGGTCCCCGCTGAGGACAGGAGGACAACAGAGGGGTCTGGAGGAGAATGACTGTCCTTTCTGGGAGGCCTGCGTGGGGAAGGAGCGGGCGAGGAGAGTAGTGGAGCCTGTGGCCCAGCCTGGGGAACTGACCTGAGAGCCCCACTGGCAGCCCAGCTGCCCTGGAAATCTGCCAGGCTCGGTCCAGCTTAGGGAGACCAAAGGCCACTGGGCTCCTGAACTTGAGCTATAATCCTGGGGCTGGTAACCTAAGCGAAGGCCAAGCCGCAGGACAGAAATGTCAGGAGGGGTTAAAGGGCGGGGAGGGTCCCCTGTCTTCCACAAGCTCCTTCCCTGTATTTGCTGGAACCCTTCCTCCCTCCCTCCTCTCCTCCCTCCACATGACACACTTTCATACAAAGTCAGCCTCCTTTCCTAAACCTCCCTGCCTTCCAGGTTTTTCTGTGCATTTTTTTTGAGCTGTACTATTTTTCCTGTACATACTACTCTGTAAACTTACCCCCATGAAATTATACCTCAGAAATACTCCACTGCCACAAACACAACACAAAATATTTCACCATATGATTGTATCGTAATGTATCTCCTGACTGGTAGGTACTTACATTGTTTCTGATGTTTTATATAGAAGTAAACATCTTTCTGCACGTAGCTTGGCTGGGGTCACTCATTATTTTGCGAGGATAGATTCCCAAAGTAGAACTGCTGGGCCAAAGGGCCTGTGTGTTTACTTCAAAGGCTGTGTGTGTGACAATCTCAAACCCACGGAGTGTAAGTACAGTGTGAGGGTGTTTTCCTATCTGCGGTGAAAGTGTGCTGCTGACGAGAAGCCTCCATGATCTCCACATTTTCCCTGCAAACCAGGACCCTGCTGTGTCAGAATCCCGCCAGGAGCGACGGAGTCATAACCCTGCTTCACTCCGTCACTCTGACCGTCAGCCCTGCCAGGACCCAGCGCGGGTTCCTGAGCCATGGACCCTCTGGAGTCAGAAGAGCTCAGTCCTGTCTGGACTCCCACAGCGGGCACGTGTGCCAGTTTAGTATCTGATAAAGGGTCTCTGTACTTGACACTCTTCGGTTAAAACACTGCGGTTCTTCCTGTCCACCTATCCTTCCAGATGAGCTTTTGAATCACATTAGTAGGTGGTGGGCTGCCCCCTGCAGGCCTACGAGCCATGTCCTTGCCCAGCCTCAAGACCAGAGAGCCTGGAGTCAGCAGCAGAGACATCAGTGGCTTAATGGACAGGGACCTTATGCGCCTGAAGCAAGGTGGGGACTGTCTTCCCTCCTGGAGGGAGGGGGCGTTACCAGTTACAGGGGGAATTGATATCAGGCTGGCTCATCAGTTGAGTTACCAGGGAAACCAGTAGAGGAGCACGGCCCTCCCTGTCCCTGTGATAAGCTACCATGGTGGAGATGTTGAGCTCTAAAGATTAGAAGTCACTAGCTGGGGGGACCAGGGGCAAGCATGTAGGCATTTTACTGATTAGGCTCTAGGATGAAAAGGGAAAGTCAGTCATGTGAGTGGGTGTAGGTCAGGCAGGGACTGGACGACCAGGGGGCGTCCATAGAGCAAGAGCAGGTGCGGTGTGGGGGGGGGGGGGGGCGCAACCATACAGTGGGTTTAGAAAGATCCAAATATATTTTTGCTTTGACTTATCCTGAGTCCTTAAAACCCAGAAGAATTAATCTGCTCTCCAGGGCACAGTTGTCTCTACCTTGGTCACACCATTTTTTTTTTTTTTTTTTTTTTTTTTTGCGGTATGCGGGCCTCTCACTGCTGTGGCCTCTCCCGCCGTGGAGCAAATGCTCCGGACGCGCGGGCTCAGCGGCCATGGCTCACGGGCCCAGCCGCTCCGCGGCATGTGGGATCTTCCTGGACCGGGGCACGAACCCGTGTCCCCTGCATCGGCAGGTGGACTCTCAACCACTGTGCCACCAGGGAAGCCCTGTCACACCATTTTTATAACCTCAGTGACACTGAGCTTTCTCACATTAAGCCTCTGCCTTCCTGGATGACTTTGTTCCTAGCTTGTCCAATTGAGATCAGGTTTCAGCTTGTCTGTTACATTTTCAAATTACCACTGAATATCTATAGGAAACGTGTTCTTTCCACATATTCTAACACTTCCCTCCCAGCCCCACCCCAGTGCCTCTGCTCAAGTCTGCACATGCAAGAGGGTCTGGGTAGGAAGGGCGCTCTTGCAGGTGCGGCCATAACCACACCTGCCCATAGTCCTTCTGCCCTTGGCTCGCCAGAAATATCCCTATGGTCTCAGTGATTACACACCCACGTTCCCAGCTTCCTGTGCTGTGGGCGACTTGTGTCTCCTTTACTTTGTTTGTTTGTTCTTTCCATATTTCTTAACTTTCCGAGTCTCAGTGAGAAGGAAGGGCGCGGAGCTGCACTGGTATCACCAGCCTGTGACCATCAGCCTGGTAGTCTCCTACAGGGGAGCCTTAAAAACAACCGGGACAGGGTTTCCCTGGTGGCACAGTGGTTGAGAGTTCGCCTGCCGATCCAGGGGACACGGGTTCGTGCCCTGGTCCGGGAAGATCCCACATGCCGCGGAGCGGCTGGGCCCTTGAGCCATGGCCACTGAGCCTGTGCGTCCAGAGTCTGTGCTCCGCAGCGGGAGAGGTCACGACAGTGAGAGGCCCGCGTACCGCAAAAAAAAAAACAACCGGGACAGTGTCTCAGCGGTACTGGCTCACATAGGAGCAAACAAGCCTCAAGAAACAAAGGCCGCACAAAGCCCAAGGGGGGTCAGGGGAAGGTCCGATGCTGAGCCTGGACCATGAAGCCTGGCTCTCTTGCAGGCAGCCGGTGGCCGTGGGGCAGCACGCCTCCCCTTGTACGCAGAACAGGCCATGCCAAGGGACCCTGAGCAGGTCCCTTCTCCCCTCTGGCCTGGGCTGAGAGGTCCCAGGGCCCCTTGAGAGCTGGCTTTCCTCCTAGGACCCCCATGACCTGATCTGGGGGGTTGCTTGCACGTCCATCCCTTGGCCATGTGTGTTGAGGGATGGTTCCCCTTCTCCATGGAGCTGTTTCCTGAAGATGTGGACAACAAAGCAGACGGACCTTTGGTGAAATCTGCATCGTGTCTTTTCCTCCAAGGACAGCTCCAAAGACATTTTAAAAATACATGCGGACAAAATTCAAGTTTTCCAAAATAGTAAATGTTATGAAATAACACTGCACATTTCCTCTTTTCTGGATAAAACAGAAAACACGTGGTTATTTTTAGCCCCTGGAGCTCCACTGGGAATGGGTGTAACATATGCCCACGTGCACACAGAAAGGGCCCTTTTTTTTTTTTTTTTTTTTTTTTTTTTTTTTTTTGTGGTACGCGGGCCTCTCACTGTTGTGGCCTCTCCTGTTGCGGAGCACAGGCTCCGGATGCGCAGGCTCAGCGGCCATGGCTCAGGGGCCCAGCCGCTCCGCGGCATTGGGATCTTCCCAGACCGGGGCACGAACCCGTGTCCCCTGCATCGGCAGGCGGACTCTCAACCACTGCGCCACCAGGGAAGCCCCAGAAAGGGCCCTTTTTATCAGCTGCCCTGCAAGGATGGAGCTGTTGCAAAGGACGTAGGCAAGCGCAGCACTGCTCTGCCTTGTGGGGATTCCCTCCAAGCGTGGATGCCCAGCAAATGGAGAAGGACAGGCTCCCTGTAACCCCTCCCTCCTCTTCTTACGCAGCGTGAACCCAGCTCAGGCCCTGAGGCTCCCAGACTCAACCTCCTCCTGGGTAAAACCAGGATAGCGAAGGTGAGGCTTAGGTTTACGATGAGGGTTTAATAAAAAAACGTGTCCCAAATGCTTCACCCACTACCCAATACACCCGACAAATGGCCACATTACCATCACTGCCACCATCAGTGTTCATCCTTCGATTTCGCCATTTATGCAGTAAATCGCCTCTCCAGGGACCAGCCGTCTGAACTTCTTTTTCCTTGCAAACTGACCCCACATCTCCAGCTGCAAACAGGATGTTGGAAAGAAGGACATCCTTGAGGACTTCACGGAGTAAATATCAAGGAGTCTGATATCAAGGGCTCCTAATGGCCAGAGCTGGAATGATTTGAGGAAAAAGTAATCTTTACTTATTAATATAATGAGTGTGCCATTAATTAATAATGACAGTATTGGCTAATCTCCCATAGACCAAAAGATCTCAGCCCATACTCATATAAATATTCAAATAAATAAATGTGGAAGAAGAAAGTGTTTTCCTACAGAAAAAATGTTATTAACAAATGAGGAAGCGGCTTCCCTGGTGGCACAGTGGTTAGGACTCCACGCTCCCAATGCAGGGGGCCCAGGTTCAATCCCTGGTCAGGGAACTAGATCCCACATGTATGCTGCAACTAAGAGTTCGCATGCCACAACTAAGGAGCTGGCAAGCCGCAACTAAGACCCTGCTCAGCCAAATAAATAAACAAATATTTTTTTTAAAAAAATGAGGAAGGGGGTACTTCCCTGGCAGTCCAGTGGTTAAGACTCCAAGCTCCCAATGCAGGGGGCACGGGTTCAATCCCTGGTCAGGGAACTAAGATCCTGCATGCCTCCAGGAACAGCCAAAAATAAATAACTAAAAAAGGAAGGAATGAGGGAAATAGAATATCACCATTAGGCAAACAACCCTGTAATAACTATTTCCAGAAACTGGGCAAAAATCTGAGGAGAAACAGGATGCTGGCATAGCCTCAAAGCAACTCCCCCACAATATGTATCAATTACCCTGGAGAGGTGGCAAGAAATGGTCGTTCTGGATTATTTTTAGATCAGAACTTCTCGTAAGCACTCTCCTTGCATCCCCTTCCCCACCTAGTTTTTTTTCTTTCATGAGAATCTGCTTACGTATTAACTTCAGAGTAATTCTGATTTAAAGCAAACTAAAATCCTTGGAACAATGACTTACATAAACCATAGGCTTGAAATGAGGGTAAAAGGCAAAACATAAAGTGAACACACACAGCTAACATTTCAACACGTTTATTTTGCACGAATGCCCATAGTCTTACCCACTCCTCGCACTCACGCCCCCATGGCCCACGCAGGAAGGATGCAGCTCCAGGACGCCTTCCTCTTGGTGCACGAGGTAACGAGTGACTAAACAACAGGAAGAAGTCGGAGAGGCTAAACCTACACAGTAACCTCTGAGCTGGAGGACCTTAGCTAAGACAGGCTGGGAGAAGAGGGAGGTGAGGGCAGAGGCCAGGCACACACCCTCCCCAACCCCTCCTTGCAAGACCCCAGTAGAAGCCTGCCTGGCCCCAGCTCTCCCACAGGGCACCCAGGGCCGAGCCCCTGGAAGGTCGGTCATCCTGGGTGGTCGGTCCCCTTGCTGGCCAGGGAGGTCTCCACTCTTAGCAGTGATGACAACATACTAAATATAAATGTGAAACCGTTATTAAACACCTGTTTACTTGAAAGAGACAAATTCATCCGTGCACCTGCTCCAACCAAAGTGTGGCCTGATTGCAGACAATCTGCAGGGAGGACCTTCCTTCGCTCCTTGCTCCCTCGCCTCCTACTCTGCTTCTCATTCTTCCCCACGGGACCCAGAAACAGGTTAAAGAGGCCCACTTTGCAGTCAGAAAAGGGAAAAAGGGACGGGATACGGAGAGGGGACACAGGAAGAGGGGAGGGGCCGGAGGTGACGCGGAGCCATAGTCGGACGGACACGCGGCGCCGGCTCTTCCGGTCGCCTTCCGATGGCGTCACCGGCCGGCGCGGGCTAGAAGGGCAGAGTGCGTCGCCCCGATGCGCGCCGAGGGGAGAGCAGGCCTGAGCCGCGCGCGTGAGAGGCAGGGCCGGCTCCCTGCGGAGGCTCCTACATGGCGGCGGCCGCACACCACAAACGCCCCTGCGGAAAGCATGACAGGCGACAGAGACGGGCGAGACACACCTGACACAGTAGACGAGCCTGTTCAACCCGCCTGCCAACCACGGGCGTCCACTCCGCGCGTGCTCAGGGGCCGCCGCCAGACTGCGCCTGCGCGGGCCCGATGGTCACACCGCGCCTGCGCAGCGCCGTCTTCGTCGCCACTCAGGCGCCTGCGAGTCCCTTTATGGTCCCGGCTGCTCCGGTCGAGGCCTTCTGGGACTGCCCAGTTCGAAGGCATACGCTCTACTCGGCTTTCCAGCCGGCAGAAGGCCCACACCTCAGCTCGTCTGACCATCATCTTGACCCTTACCTTCCGAATGTCCTCTACCACCTCTCCTCTCTCACCGAACACTCACCTCCCCTGGCAGCGAAGACGTGCGGTGATCCGGCGCTCAGCTCTGCGCCTGCGCGGGGCCCCTCGCAATTCCCAGCCGGCTTTAAGCTTCTAAGTGCGGGTTATCGCCCACACGGACACAAAATGTCGTTTTTCATCTTCAGCCTAAGGTTTTCTCTAACAGGGACGTCATGGGAATTACGATTTTCTAAGTGTATATTAATGATCAAGAAGGGACGGTCATCACTTTAACATGTTCTAATGGCCTCGGTTCTGCTGTCCGTCTTAGCTTCGTTTGGGTTCTAACGGCCCGCGGCCAACTAAGGTCCTCGCTTCCTTGTTAGATTTTTTTTGCTTTGTTCGGAGGTCGGGGGTGGGGGGGGGAGGTTCCTTTCTCCGCGGGGACCTAGGCTGCCAGGACTCCGCCCCTTGTCCAGCCCAGGGCTCTGCAGGGAGTGCGGGGGGGGGGGGGAAAGGGGGGGGGGGGGCAGGAGACCAGGGAAGAGTTGGGGGAAGGAGCCCCTGGGAAATAGGCTGAGACGCCTCAGAGACAGGAGTGGGTGGCACCGGCCTGGACAGTTCGCTGAAGGTCTTCGCACCAGAAGGGATTCTGGGGGTCATTTCCACTTTGAGATGGGTGGTGTCACCCCCTCCACGTGAAGTTAACCTGCCCAGTAATGGGGAGAGAAGGGCTGCCATAGGCAAACAAGCTCCGTGCAGTCTGGGCTGAGGGGTGAGAGGGATGCCTCCTTTCCCCCTTGTGTGTGAGGTGGGCCAGGTGGGGTAACAGAGGCCTTTCCTGTTCATGCTTTGCCCACCTGGGAGGTGCCCCTTAGCTCCCAGACAGCCCACCCACTCACCTCTCCCCACACCCCTTGAGTTATGTTTCTTGAGATTTGGGGGCTGTAGCAGTGAGGTCCATGGGTATTGGGATGGGGGTGGGTGGAAGGTATGTCCTGTCCTAAACTCTCCTAGGCAAAAGTGATGTATTCTTGAAAGGCAGTGAAAACAAAGGTCAAGGAAGGAATGTCAGCTAAGCCTGCAGCCCAGCGTTTGAAATGAGCACGAGTGGCTGGGCCCAGGCAGAAATGTAGGCTGGGAGGAAGGCCTCCAGGAAGAAGAGGGGAGGACCTGATGCCCCCAGGGTGTGGAGGGGCGAGGGGACTTGGGCCTGGCAGGACAGATGGAGGGGTCAACCAAGGCATGGTCCCCATGGGCAGATTTGAATGTGGTCTGCATTACAGGTGAGGGCAATGCTAGACCAATCCCAGGATGTTGCCTGAAATTTGTATTACAATTTGGTTTTAGATTGTATTTCTACTTGATCTGTCTCTCTTATAAATAAATGGAATACAGCATGGCAATTCTGGCTATTTCAGTTCTGGTTAATGAAGATTTTAGTGCACTAAGATTTTGTTGGCTAATTAGAATTAATTATAATTTGGGGGTATTTTACCATGCCATCATGCAATTTTCACTGTTGCAAATGGAGAATGAAATCAAGTACCCGTGACACTAAAGCGATCTGTTCATCTTCAGTAACTTGAACGGAGTTAAGTAGCCCAGTCAGTCGGGCTGTCTCTGCAGCTTCTTCCAGAACGACTAACTGAATTTTGGGAGAGAAAGCCTTTCAGAGCTCAAGGGAAGAATGACAGGCAAATGGAACAGCTCCCGGAGCTCTTTGGTACAGGCTTTTCAAGCTCCGTGGGCAGTAACACCCAGCCAGACGGCAGGGTCCTGAGCCCCGCAGGGTCGGCGCAGCTTTTGTCCTGGTTTATTTGAGTTATTTATGCAGAAAACTCTCGTTCCCTGGCTGGGAAGACCTGTTTCCATGGACATCTCTTTTTAGACTCCCCTCTATTTTCTTTTCATCTGTTCTTGAGTAATTCCTGGGAATAACATGAAGAGGCATAAGTGACCTTCACCTGGACACAGGTCCAGCATTCCCTCTGATGCGCTTCCGTAAAATAAGGTGAGAGCAGAAACTGGTCTATTTTTAGAGGAAATTTCTTTGAGAAATAGTTTCTATTTTATCTGTAATCCTCTGGCTAATGTTTAAAACCAGTATTCATAATGCTGCCTAAGAGCTTTAGAGCAAATGGATTTTAATAAAGAAAAGCTATTTTAGAGTGCTGTGTTGTAAGAGGGGCTCGGCAAAGAGGAGTGGAGAGGAGACTAACAGATGAGGGGACCCCCGGGGCCCAGAGGGAGCAGCCAGGAACCAGACAAAAGTGAACGCAGGGCAGCAGACAGCCAGGTGCCCGTTCCTGGCGCTCTGCTCCCGAGGAGAGAGCTCAGCAGCAGCCTCCGAAGCTGGTTTAAGCCAATATGCGCAGGCCTCTTTCTAGCCCTGCAAGGTGAGCTGGGTGCCCTGCCTGCCCCTTTGCCTCTCCCTCCCCCTGTCATCTCCCAGCTCCTATCAAATGGTTATTTTTATTTGTGAAGCGGATACATACGCCTTTTGTTCTGTAACTATAATTAAATCCCTGGTCTTGGTATCGGGTGCACAGTGTGTGTGCCTAAGACACCCCACACACTGTGTCTCCCCTTTCCTAGTTCCACCCACAATTACCACTGACCATTGCTCCCACCCTGTGTCAGTCCTGTGAGGTGTGGCTTGAACTAGGTCGTGGCAGGAATGTTTACCCCCCAGATGTGGGCGTACCTGCAAATCAGCACTTGCTTTATTGCTTTGCAGAGTGTCTTGACTCAATAAAAGGACAGAGAAAACGTTAACAGTGCAGATTAAACTTAATACTGTGTTGAAGCCAATACAGTGTGAACAGCACAGTACTAGGAGCTATAATCCAGTTCAGCCAAGAAGCCGTTGGCAAACGAGAGGATCAGACTGAGTTCTGTGGCTTCATTTTTGTCCTATCCGTTAATGCAAAAAAAAAAAAATCCACCAACGTGGGCGTGGGAAGGACCCTCGCTGATCGATTACAGGCATAGGTTACCTGTAGAGACGAGAGTTCGCCAAAAATCCACAGAAGTATTCTGTGAGAGTCAATTGGTTGGAAATTACAATGAAGAGTATTGTGTATTTTTTAAATTACTTGTAAACTATGTGCTCCAGACACTTTAGTAGAATTTACAATAGGCTTGTACACATACATACATGCATATGTTTTTGTTCCTGAGAGCCAGCTGTTAGACCTTTACCCACAGTCATGGCCACCAGCGGGGTTCTGCCCTGGGATGGGTCAACCTTCATTTCTTATTCCGTCAAATTCTTGCAGTTTTTATACCTGCAGTTATGCAAAGTTCAGGTACAAGGAGATTTACTCACTGCGTGATGCACCCACTTTTGCATAGCTTTTGGTGATTTTCAGTGATTCTATTTGACTCTTATAATTGTGGCAAGTTGTGCATTTACTCAGCAGATGCCCTGTGGTCTGTGCTGAGCACATCACGGCCGAGGACGCTGTCCTGGTCCTCAAGAGGTTAGACCCGAGTGAGACCCTGCGAGGGTCCTAGCAGATTCCCAGGTACTCACAGAAAAGCCAAGAGACACAAGACAGCCTCCTTTTCAGCAGTGTCTAAGAGGCTAGTCCTTGCCGGCGACCCCGCCCCTCCTCTCTCATGGTCCTGACTCTCCAGGGCCCCTCCCTGTGGCCACCATCACCAGCCCTCTTCCCTCCTGGTCTTCCCTCCTGGTCTTGGACCTGCTCTGCTCCACACCTGGGCTCACTCCGGAGCTGAGCGGGTCCTGAAGCTACGCCTCAGGGGTCTGATGCTTCTAGAGACATTTGGGGTTGTCGTGGGCACTCCTGAAGGGACAGAAGGCTGGCCCTGAGGGCAGATGATTATAGTCCCAGGACACAGTGTGGGTGGGTGGCTAGGTCACCTCTGCAAATGCCAAGCCTGGGCTGGGTGGAGGACCTCGAGGGTTTCAGCATGGACTGCTTGCCCAAGCTGCTTCTGAATGGAGCCCCCCGCATAGTACACAGAGGGTGTGTCTGTGACAATAGGTTTAAGGGACAGGATCATCCCAGAGACATCAAACGGGTGGTGATGGGAGGGCTGTACAGCCACATGCCGTGGTCCTGTGGCCAGCGTCCTCTTGGCCCTGCCCCACCATGTGTGTGGTGGCCCAGAGGGAAGGAAAGCACAGGGCTTTCTGGTCATCATCGTTGGATCTTCCTTGGAATAAAGAGGCCGCCGGTGCGGCCTCCCATTCAGGTCGCATCAGCAGCTACACGAGCCCAACCCACTAACTGCCCGCCACCCACATGGGCAGTGCTTCTCTCCAGGCAGCCCTGGAGATTAATTAAAGAAAAAATAAACATTGCTGGGGACGTTATAGGACATGACACTTGCTGCCCTCTCTTTCTGAAGCTGTAACCATGATGGATGACCCATTGTTGGATTACTATGAAAGACGGACAAGCTTAGAATGTCAACAAAACCTAAAATATCATCAGTGAGCACAGTCAGCTTAATGGTTCCTAAAGCAGCTGCTTGGTTGCTGACGTGATAGGTCTAGAAGGAGGGCCTGGCCTTTCCCAGCAACCTTGCCCTGAGAACGTGGATTTTCTCCAGAGCCTTTGTTTCTTTTTCCTTCCTGTCCCACCCCTGGTGCTCTGGTACCTCCGGGATCTGCCTTCTGTACAGGACCTGTTTGTCTTGGGCAGTTGCGTGGCTGCATTTTGGGAACCAACTGCAGGTGACCAGACTGGCTCAGCTCCTCCCACACGAGGTTCAGGCCTCGTGGGCAGGTGACACACTCCCTTAGGGGCACAGAAGTTTCAGGTGCCGAGGAATTGACAGCAGTGTCTGGGCACAGGCTGTACGTGGTTTACATCCGAAGCCTGTTCACACAGAGCAGGTGGTTAAGACAACAGGTTGGGTTCGGATGGACCTGCAGCACACCTGCCGCGTAACCTGGGATGGTCACCTCCCCGCCATGTCCAGAGCTGGGGTCATGCCACCCACCACACAGGGCACCGCACGGCACAGTGTAAGGAGATGCCGAGCGTGCAGAGCCTCCTCGAACCGGCCCAAGGGCAGGTGGCCGCTGCACGTCTCCCTCTCTAGGCC